AATGGGGGTGCTTATTGCAAGAAGGGCACTAAATCAAATCATTACAGTATTTGGCAGTCTGAAGTTATCACAGAATTTCCTCAAAACATCTCATTTTAATTTTTCTGAGAAAAACTTATCTTTGTGTTGAGATCAGGTCTGTCATCACGTTTTGATTCATCTGTGGCCTTGATTTTCAAAGCCATACTGCATAGCAAACTTGTTACTTTGTGGGTGAATTGTATCAGCTACAGGCAAGTTCACTTGCAACATCAATGGCCATCAAGCATGCTCAGCTGTAAGAGGTACTATGGGTTATAGCCCTTATTGACAGCCCTGGAGATGTCAAGGAATTCCAAACATTATTTTTGCTTTGTATTTGAGGAATTTTTCGAACTTAGGCATGCCATAAAATCTGAATGTTTTTGACACATTTGTTTGCCATGAACACAAAGAAAACTCGAGATCAAGTGGTCCTGGTTCGAGCCCTAGGTGGGGTCACTGCATGGTGTTCTTAGGCAAGACATATACCCAGGTGTATAAATGGGTACCAGTGAATTCAATGATGAGGGTGACCCTGTGATGGATAGTGGCTTAGTACTACAGAAACTTGAGAAAGCTCTGGTTTTATAGGCCATTTGCTTGATGCAGATGTTATATATACCCTTAAAACATAACTGTATGGATGATCTGTTCTCTTTGTTTTTTGTATTTTTGTCAGAAACTAACAGCCACTGTACAGATAGCCCTAACTACAGAGACAAATACAAGACTTTAAAGAGGAAACTGAAGTTTCTGCTTTATGTAAGTAGAACTCCATCTTTTTAACACCTCCACACTACTTTTTCATATTTACGACATCAATTCTATTATCTTTAATCTTTATCCTGGTGCCTTGTTAACATGACCAGTGCCCCTTCATCTCTCTAAGTGTATGCCAGTAATACAATCAATTGAAATGCTTGTTATCAAGATGTATTACAATAACATTATAGACATAGTGTTTTACTGGAAAATACACCAGTTGTAGAATTTATACCAACTTTATTCAGGACCCAAGCGGTGTATTTTCCATATAATTTGATGATGACATTTTTTTTCTTTTGCTTTTTCACAGTCACTGTGTTTGTTGTCAGTTATTTTTACAAACAGTCAGTTCGTGTATATATAATAATAAAATATTCAATTGGTTTATTGTTAGTATTTTTCATTGCATGACTGATTACAACAGGAACAAGAATATTTTCAAGAGGAACTCAGAAGAGTGCAGAAGAAACTTCTTCGGGTTTCCCGCGACAAAAGGTGCAATCTACATGTAGTTACTGCTGATTTTATAGCATTTAATATCAGAAATGGAAATTTGTATTTAATGCTAGACTTGTCTATGCTGCTAGTATTAATTGCTGTGCTTGTTTTAACCCAAGGCTGAGGTCATGACTACCCATGACCTGTAATCAGGTATCTTTTTTGGTGACATCTTTTTTTTTTTAATAAAGGGAGAGAGGGTATGACTGCAGGTAAGCCGAGGGTACACATGAAGCTTTTTACTGAATGTCAGTAGCTACAACTTTTTCAAAATATGTTTATTACAGAACATGGTGAAAATTAGGTTTTCTATTTATTTCACACGTGATGCAACCTTAAAGAATTAGGACATTTGTTTATTATTATGAAGTGATTTTACAAATAGTGCATGACTTGTGTAATGGAGGCATCACATGTCTTTACCATTGTATTCATGGACCAACTTTTGTGGCAACTTGTGACTGTCAAAACCTCACTCAATGTACCTGTGGTTTAAGCATCATTTAGTCTGTAAACAACAAAAATATAAGGGCTAACTCCTAAGTGACTTTCGACTTGACTCATACAGTGTATTAATATATTTTTTCACGGAGCGTGTCCAAGATTTAATTGATAAATTGGCTCTCCTACTACTTGGGAGAGTTGATTGCAATATGCATGTAAAAACTACAGACCTGTGTAACTGTCACATCTTAACGGCGGTGGAGAGGAGTACTTCGCTGTTATTGGGGGGGGACGGGGAAGGGATGGGAAGAAAACCATCCAACAAAAAATACTAATGTGGAAAACAATTCTGGTGGAGAAAGCCGTGGATTGGCACCACCCTACTCCCCTAGGATTGTGCTAGGTCCCAGATCCCCATGCAATGCAACAACCTACCGGTAAGTCCCTGTTAATTTAAGTTAACTATCGTTTTCTTTTCCTTTTTTTACATAGTTTTCTGCTTGACAGACTTCTGCAATATGAAAGTGTGGATCATTCATCATCTGGTAAAGATACACTACCTTTGTACATTTAATTGAATTCTCCACATAATGGAAAAAATGAAATGAGAATTCTAAGTTTCATTTTCAGCTCAATATCTTGGTGTTTCATGATTCCACACATTTTCACTGGTAACACCTTTTTCATGTGTTGTCAGTATTAGAGTTTTTTGTGGGGTTACAACACTGATAAATGCTTTTGCAGGAGAATAGCAAATTTTTGCTGGTAGTCTAGTTAACAAATTACAGGGCATTGGTAGGCTAAAAACCTTTTCTGGGAAGTTATACATGATACATCAATACATTGCAAGTAATTTTTTAAAAGTTGGGAGAAAACTCCAAAACTTTGGTTTGCAAGTTTGTGAAAAAAATTATAAACAAAAGAGCTGTACACCAAAAAATAATGTGCAGTGCTTACTGATTTGTTTTTTCCTGTTGGGGTTTTTTAACTTTTCCTTTTCTTTACTGCACTAACTTGACATTGTTAATGTTCTGTTGCTCATCATTAGATGATGATGGTACAGCTTCATCCTCAGGTGTGAGCGATAGTGAAGGACCAAAGGTAGTTAATATTAAACTTTATGTGCTTACTGTGTTTTGAATTACATGTATGGGGGGGGGGGGNGTACCTTTATCTCCCATGTCCTGCTTCCTTCCCTTGTAAATAAGGAGACTCAAAACACATCCTAGTCATTTAGGGCAAATTTATGTTTGCTCATTGGCCCAAAAGTCTCAAAAGACACTAAATGCAAGTCAGATAATGTTTTGAGGTCTTGTTTGTGAAAGTATTTGAACATTTAATAACATTTAATATAAGAAGTTAAATCTTATGGGCTGAAAAAAAAAACAATTTCCTGCACTTAAATCGCATGCAATGCAAAGTTCACAGACATGCAAAATAGACCAAAAGCAGCAATTTCATATCCTTGGACACTGGTTATTTCTTTTAATTTCCTTGTGAATTCTTGACATGCTGACTTTCCTGATATTGGCAATTTTCTTTGTTTGCTGATCGCAGAAGCAGTCAGAACTGCCGTTCATTATCACCACCATAGTCATGTGACAAATTTAGCCAGTCTCTCTGACAAGCATATAAAACTGTAAAGAGTGTTTTATGGTTTAAGAAAAGGTTAAGAAGTGTTTGACAAAAAGTGACTGCAAAATGGATATATATCTTTTAGGTACTTATTGGAGAAACACCTGTACAA